CCTTTTGCCAGTTGATCTTTTGATTAGCAGTAAAACACTTTCCAAGCAACAAAATCCATGAACTATGCACTGTGGAAATAGTCAATTTTTGTCTTCTCTCTCACACTATTCAAACTTCTCTCCAGTCACTTTCTCCTCACCATGCAGCCAACATAAGAGAGAATAAACTGGAAGGTAGTTTTATGTAGTGATTTTTGGATCCATGTTAGATTCTCTGTGTTGATTCAGTGAATAAAAAACAACACCCAAAAGTGGCCCAGCGTCTAGCAAACATTGGAGCAAATTGAGGAGAGAGAAGAGACATTGAAATCATTTGAGCAGCCCTACATTGCTTCTACAAAAAAATATATGCTCCAATTTTTTTAGATCAGTATATAAAATGATACACATCTTTGTTTGTCAGCTTTACCTATCTTTATCTCATGCTTCAAAAAAGATACAGTAGGTCCTAAATAAGACCTGTACATCAGTAGATTGTTTTCCTATATTTTATGAATTCTCCAATTGAAGGGGGATTTCACATGTTTATGCACCAACCACCAATTCTGAGACTGAAACTGACAAATTGTATGAAGATTTACAACACCTTATAGAACTGAAACCAAAGGAAGATGTTCTTCTCATTCTAGGGGATTGGAATGCTAAAGTGGGGAGTCAAGAGATAAAAGGAACAGGAAAAGTATGGCCTTGGAGTTCAAAACCAAGCAGAGCAAAGGCTAATGGAGTTTTGTCAAGAAAACAAGCTGGTCATCACAAACACTCTTTTCCAACAACACAAGAGGCGACTCTACACATGGAAATCACCAGATGGGCAATACCGAAATCAGATTGATTCTATTCTCTGCAGCTAAAGATGGAGAAGCTCTATACAGTCAGCAAAAACAAGACCTGGAGCTGATTGTGGCTCTGATCATCAGCTTCTTATAGTAAAACTCAAGCTTAAACTGAAGAAAGTAGGAAAAACCACGGGGCTAGTCAGGTATAATCATATCCTATGAATACACAGTGGAGGTGAAGAACAGATTTAAAGAACTAGATTTGGTGGACAGAGTGCCTAAAGAACTTTGGATAGAGGCTCGCAACATTGTACAGGAGGCAGCAACCAAAACCATCCCAAAGAAAAGGAAATCCAAGAAAGCAAAGTGGCTGTCCAACGAGGCCTTACAAATAGCAGGGAGGAGAAGGTAAAAAAAAGCAAGAGAGAGAGGGAAAGTTACAGAAAATTGAATGCAGACTTCCAAAGAATAGCAAGGAGAGCCTTCTAAAATGAACAGGGCAAAAAAATAGAGGAAAATAATAGAAAGGGGAAAAGCAGAGATCTGTTCAGGAAAATTGGAGCTATCAGAGGAACATTTTGTGCAAAGATGGACATAGTAAAGGACAAAAATGGGAGGGACCTAATAGAAGCAGAAGATATCAAGAAAACGTGGCAAGAATACACAGAGCAACTATACCAGAAAGATTTGGAAATCCCGGACAACCCAGATAATGTGGTTGCTGAACTTGAGCCAGACATGCTGGAGAGAGAAGTCAAGTGGGCCTTAGAAAGCTTGGCTAAGAACAAGGCCAGTGGAGGTGATGGCATTCCAGTTGAACTATTTGAAATCTTAAAAGATGATGCTGTTAAGGTGCTACATTGAATATGCCAGCACGTTTGGAAAACTCAACAGAGGCCAGAGGTCTGGAAAATATCAGTCTATATCCCAATCCCCAAGAAGGACAATGCCAAAGAATGCTCCAACTACCATAAAATTGCATTCATTTCACATGCTAGCAAGGTTATGCTCAAAATCCTACAAGGTAGTATGTGGACCGAGAAGTCCCAGAAGTACAAGCTGGATTTCGAAGGGGCAGAGGAACTAGAGACCAAACTGCTAACATGCGCTGGATTATGGAGAAAGCCAGAGAGTTCCAGAAAAACATCTACTTCTGCTTCATTGATTATGCAAAAGCCTTTGACTGTGTGCACCACAGCAAACTTTGGCAAGTCCTTAAAGAAATGGGATTGCCTGACCACCTTATCCATCTCCTGAGAAATCTATATGTGGTACAGGAAGCAACATTTAGAACTGTATATGGAACAACTGATTGGTTCAAGATGGGGAAAGGAGTACGACAAGGCTGTATATTGTCTCCCTGCTTATTTAACCTATATGCAGAATACATCATGCGAAAGACTGGACTGGGTGAATCTCAAACCAGAATTAAGATTGCCGGAACAAATATCAACAACCTCTGATATGCAGATGATAACACTCTGATGACAGAAAGTGAGGAGGAATTAAAGAACCTCTTAATGAGGGTGAAAGAGGAGAGTGCAAAAAAAAAAAATGGTCTGAAGCTCAACATCAAAAAAATGTCCACATATTCAAAGCTATGGTTTTACCTGTAGTGATGTATGGAAGTGAGAGCTGGACCATAAAGAAAGCTGCCCGCTGAAGAATTGATGCTTTTGAATTGTGGTGCTGGAGGAGACTCTTGAGAGTCCCCTGGAGTGCAAGGAGAATAAACCTATCCATTCTAAATGAAATCAAACCCTGAGTGCTCACTGGAAGGACAGATCCTGAAGCTGAGGCTCCAATACTTTGGCCATCTCATGAGAAGAGAGGACTCCCTGGAAAAGACCTTTATGTTGCGAAAGTGTGAAGGCAAGAGGAGAAGGGAACGACAGAGGATGAGATGGTTGGATAGTGTCACCGAAGCAACCAACATGAATTTGACCCAACTCCGGGAGGCAGTGGAAGATAGGTCCTGGTGTGCTCTGGTCCATGGGGTCACGAAGAGTTGGACATGACTAAATGACGACGAGCCAGATGCCATCACCATATCCTGTGGCAATTTTTGTACTCTCTCTCACACACACAATTCAAATTTCTCTCCATTCACTTTCTTCTCACCATGCACAGTTATATACCTGTATGATGCCCCTGCCTTATATACTCCCTTTTAAGGGTAAACTGACCCAAATGATCCAACTTTATCTCAAAGAGTACTTACTCCAGCCTCTTAGTCATTTTTTTAGTCCCTTTCTGCAACTTTTCAGGTCTACAACATATTTTGAACTGCAGTGGCCAGAATTGTATTTCAAGTGTGATTGTACTACAGCTTTCTTTAAATGGTACAACACAGGTTCTCTGTTTTGAGGTGTTTACTGGGTTCGTCTCTGAACCTGGATGCTTAGATCAGTAGTGACCAGGAACACATTTGCATAGTTAAAATCAGTGTGCCAATGCATCATATATATGGGCTTTATTGGTACCAGTAACAATTCTATTCTGTAGGATGCCAGAGGCAGAAGTAGAAATCATGTTTAAATGACCGCTGAAAACCTATTTGTTTATGCAGGCATTTTCTTCTCTATAATTATTTTCATTACTGTATTTTGTCTGATTTTTTTCAAAACATTTAAAATGGTTTTATATTGCTTTTAAATCCAATGTGAACCTTTTAGAACCTTTTAAAATTTACTTTTAACTACTAGGAAGTGATGTACAAATATAAATTGCAAATAATAGAGACTACAGAATGTGCCGTGGCTTTAATCTTGCATATGGATACCTGTGTTTCTATTATGTGCAAAAAACAGACTGTGCATGCAATTTATGTACATTCTGAGAGGCAGATTACTATCCATATAAGTACCTGTATTTTCAAAGAAACATAGTGTGCAAGTTGTGTAGCTATTGACACATCTGTCTCTGAAGGGGATATACTAACCTTTCCAACCACAATACAAATGCTCCTTTGTGAAAGACTAAGAAGAACACTACAGTCTGCTCCTAGATCTGCTCTTTTTGCTGTTCTTATCCATGTTCAGTAGTGGCCCCTCATATGAGCACTTTTAAAAATGTATCTGTTGCCCTCCTTCTCTTTTGCTCTGTGTAATCTATTATTCTAAGTACTTTAAGTAATATATACAACTAATATCACAAAGCTAAATGCGGAGATCGCTTTGTCAAGAGATGAAGAAAGACGCGGAGACAGACATGGGGGAGGAATTGTTCTGCCCTCCCGATAGTGGGAGAGGTTTATTTATAATCAACTTAGGACAGATGTAAGACTAGGATTGGTCAAGTTTTGGTGCAGTGTTGTTAATGATCGGCTTACTTAGAGTAAAGTGGTGATCATGCGCCTGCCTCATGCAGGGTGCATGCTTGGCTCATGAATCAGGTGTGATTGGTACCGCCACATGGTTTGCCAGTGCTTTGGTAACCCTACAGCTAAATGCATGTACGTACTCAGGAAAAAAGGCTCAGTTCATTCGTGTATACTGTATGACCTAAAGTGCTGTTATTTGCTGTGACAGGAAATAGGAAGATAACAACTTAGAGGTCTTGCTGAATAGAGAGTGCTTCAGAATTTAAACAGTCACACCTAGTTAAGGAACTTTTAAGCCATATCAGTGCTTTATATATCTGGCTGCAGAGCCAGTGGTTGTGAGTTCAATTCCCCACTGTGCCTCCTTGAAAGCTGCTGGACTCCATGATCTGTAGGGTTCCTTCCAGCCCTGCAGTTCTAAGATTATTATTATACACAAAAGATTTATTTGCTAAATTCCCATTTCTGAACTACTGCTGGAATCAGCAAGTACCAGTTAGGCTAGCAAAGGGGGATAGGCTTCAGGTGATAATGTGAAATTCACAACAGATTGCCAATAGTAGCACATGTTGTACATGCCACAGGGCCACAATACAAAAGAGGAATGGTTCTTTTAAATGTGTTATCCGTCAATAGCATCACGGAAGGCCGCGTCACGATACGACTGCTGGAACGCCCTGGCAAAATCCACAGCAACAAAGTAAACAATTTCTTTTTCTTCTTCTTCTTCTTTCGCCGATAAAGAAGCACACACCCATTGTTCCCGACCAGACAGGCCAGCTGAACCGGGCCACGGTCCCCACCCAAGGGTAACACCCCACCAAGACTCGAGCGCCCGTCCCTCCCTCAGAACTTCTCCTCAGGATCCTCCCTTTACCCGCATGCCAAGGCAAGGAAGGCACCGGCTACTTGAGCACTTCCGGGTCGAGGACGAACGCCGCGTGACGTCGCTGAGGCGTTGGGAGCCTCGCGCCTGTTATTGTTCCTGCTCCCTCGAGCTGCTGCCATCTCGCGCCGCGGGACGCTTTCAGCCTCCCCGTTTTGGGACGAGGCAAAAAGAAGTCCGAGGAAGGCAAGAGAAAAGGAAGGCGCGCGCGCGCTCCCCCGCCCCCCCGTGTGTCCGGCGTGGGAGGTCGTTGAGAAAAAAAACAAACAAACCTGTCAGGGGCGAGAGGGCGGGGGGGTCGGCGCTCCTGCTAACGGTTTCGAACCTTCCGTCGCGCGCGAGCCCTGACACCGAAGGGCGGGAGGGGGCCCGACGCCGCGTCACTGAGGAGCGAGCAGCTTAACAGCAGCAGCAGGAGGAGAAGGAGGAGGCGGTGGCGGCGGAGAAGAAGCCGGCAGTGAAAGGACATGGCCTACGCCTATCTCTTCAAATATATCATAATCGGGGACACAGGTGAGGAGACCACCGGGGAGATTCCCGCTGCGGAAATGGGGGCTCGGGCCTGAGCTACGAAGCCGCCTGCGCAACGCCCAGCCTCGCCTGCCCCATTTCCGCAGTGTTGGCTGCGCCGACGTGGTAGTGACTCGGCTCGGGAGGGGGAGGCGCTCGGCGCACAGGGCCCCGCCCGCGGCCTGGCTCTGGACTTGCCAGGCCTAGGCCTATTAGGTTTCTGCCCCGTAATGCCCTTGCTTCAGAGCCAGGCGCTGGGGCTCTGAGTCCGAAGAAAACGTATGCGGGAGTAGGGGTGAGGAGGCGTCCTCGAGTTGGTGGATGTCTTAAGGCCTCCGGGTCGCAGGGGGAGAGTGTCAGGGGTCTCCTTTGATCCGCCTGGAAAGGGCCCTCTTGGCCCAGGGGAACACTTCGGGAGGGAGGAGTGGGCGTGGTGGTGGGTTTAGGAGGACATGATAACGCTCTCAGGCCTTTCTCCAGACTCGCCATTGTAGGCCTTTAGGAGATCCACATGGAGAGTAGGATTCCAAAGTCTCATACTGCCTAAGTTGTGTCCCCCAGCCTAGCCCTTAGATAGGTTGGACTGCATTTCTCGTGATCCCCAGCCATGCAACGGGGTTTGTAGGTCAGCACATCTGGAGGCTACCAAATTGGAGAAGTTTGCCCTGAGCAGATGGCTTCTCATGAAAATGATTTCACAGTTTAAGGAGTGCTTGTTAAATTTCTGGATTTCCTCTAATATTTTGAAGCTGGTGGAGATTATATAATGGTTACAAAACTGAATTATAAATCATGATGTCACAATCTCACTCCTGCTTTAATTTTTAAAATATACTTTTAATATGAATTAGTAATAACCTTAGTTGAAGGAACCTTTGCTGCTCATCAGAATTTTAGGTGATAATAATACTGACTGCCTTTAGAACTAGAAAGCACATGTGGTATTTTAATACCAGCATGTGGTACCATGTTTCCACGAAAATAAGACAGGGTCTTATATTAATTTTTGCTCCAAAAACGCAGTAGGGCTTATTTTTTTATGTACAACAATATACATTTATTCAGATACAGTCACATCATCTGGTTGCTGCACAATGGTGGAGGGTGGGCTTTCACTTAACTGGGGCTTATTTTTGGGATAGGGCTTATATTATGAGCATCCTGAAAAATCCTACTAGGGCTTATTTTCAAGTTAGGTCTTATTTTCGGGGAAATGGGGTATTAGCATATTTGTCATTTCTGTTACTTTTGCTGTTGCCTTTTTTATTGGGTTTCCTATTTCGTCACTGCGTTAAGTCTAAATATGGTATAATCTGAATTGGAATAAGAAGTATGGAAGTCATTGCTATCAAATTCCATAGGATTTTCACCCCAGTAGTCATAGGTACATTTTTGTGGAGATGTGTAAATTAAGAAAGGCAAATTGATCCATATCAATTCTAAGTTTTTTGTTTGTTTTTTGGTCTGTGAGACAAATTTGTATTACATATGTTGTTTAGTCATTAAGTTGTGTCCGACTCTTCGTGAACCCATGGGCCAGAGCACGCCAGGCCCTCCTGTCTTCCACTGCCTCACTACATTGAGTACATGTAGCTGTTAGCCACCATGTAATATGGAAAGTAATGCTAAAACATTTTTGTATGAAGATTCTGGGAAACTATCTCTTTCATAGTTCTTTATAAAATAATATCTGTTAAATTATCAATCCTTTCTCTATTTTTTAGGAAGACAATCTAAAATGCAAAGATGTCACTTCTGTTTACTCCTCCATCACCACTAATATTGCTTCCTACTAAAATGGAAATTCATCAGTGTTCAGTTACATTTCTAGATGCTTTTCAGTTATGTTTGGTTTGCTACTCCTTTAAATGTGAGTTGGATTCTTTATAAAACACTGGCCATGAATATATTTGCGTTCTGCTTTTATAAGTGTTTCTTGAAAGCAAATTTCACTGATTCAGTTTATTGCTACATTTTGCCATCATGAAATATTTATTAAAAAATATATAGTTGTACATGCCTAGGCATACCTAGGGCACAATCCTAACTATCCAAGATGATTCAGTGTTATATGAGCTGACACTAAATAACCTGAAGCTGCACTAAATCTAGAATGTTTTCCAGCCCCTTGATACTGGAAATTACTTAGAACTACTCAGACTCTGGCCTGACTTTATGCCAGCAAAATGACTATGAGTCTGAGTTGAATGTGGTTTGGATCTGCAGTAACTTAGCTCCTCATTCAATCCTTGTCTCCTCCCTCCCTTTCTGGCTCTTCTGCTGGCTGCTCTCAGAATATAGAGCACAGCAGTTGTGCTGGCAATTTCCAAACCCACTCCAGCTGGTGTATCTTTGGATTGAATTGCTTCTTGGGAGTACCGTATTTTTTGCTCCATAAGACGCACTTCCCCCCCAAAGTGTGTGGGGGGAGTCCATGCATCTTATGGACAGAAGCTGGCGATTTCGCCCCCACTGGCCCCATGGGGAAGCCTCGCAAGGGTCCGAGGGAGCATTCCAGGACCCTTGCGAGGCTCCCCTCAACCCCCACGGGGCCAGCAGGGGCGAAATCTCCAGCTTGTAGGACCTTTTCTGAGCCTTTTAAGCCTCAGAAAAGGTCCTAGAAGCTGGCGATTTTGCCCCCGCTGGCCCCGTGGGGGGAGCCTTGCAAGGGTCCAAGGGAGCTTTCCAGGACCCTTGCTAGGCTCCCCCCCACAGGGCCAGCGGGGGCGAAATTGCGACTTTCCAGGACCCTTTGGAGGCTTGGAAAGCCTCAGAAAGGTCCTGAAAGCTGGTGATTTTGCCCCACGGGGGGCAAGGGGAGCCTCCAAAGGGTCCGAGAGTGCCTTCCAGGACCCTTCGGTGGCTCTCCCCCCACCCCCGCGGGGCCAGCGAGGGCAAAATTGCAACCTTCCAGGACGCTTCGGAGGTTTGGAAAGCCTCAGAAGAGTCCTGGAAGCTGGCAGTATCAACCCTGCTGGCCCCTTGGGTGTGGGGGGAGCCTCCAAATGGTCCTGGAAGGCACTCTCGAACCCTTCTGAGGCCCCCCTCCCCCGTGGGTCTAGCGGGCTGAAATTGCCAGAATATTTTTTTCCTGTTTTCCTCCCCTAAAAATGAAGTGCCTCTTGTGGAGAAGTGTGTCTTATGGAGTGAAAAATATGGTATTTCTAAGTGGTACGTCTTATGGAGTAAAAAATAAGGTAAGTTCTTTTTGGATCTTTTATCTGTGTATACATGCATAGGATCAGATTTCCTGTGTACATTAATTACTTCTTGCTTTAGTTTGTCATAAAATCACAGCAGGAACAAGGTATTTTGGAACATGTGTTTATTAAAAATAGTTAAAATGGATGTAAAAAAGTCCAGATTTTTTGCATTTGTGAGATTTTTAAAAAAATGTAAATCTGATGTTAATTTATTCTTAAAATGCCTTTTCTTTTTAAAAAGTCTGTTGAGGTAGTTTTAATTTAAAATTGTCATAATACAAAGGTCTTATTGAATCCGGCTGATAGAGATCTTAATATATGGGGATCTATGGGTTTCTGTGTGGATTCAGGTTAATTTTTGTATCTAATACTCAGACTAGTAGATATAAGGGGAAATGCAAATTTTGGTTTTGTGTCTTCACAAGTACAGTATATACTTGTTAAAAGCAACATATGGATATGAAAAATAAAGAACTGGATCAACTCTGTTTTCTAACTCTGAAGTTATTCCTTCCTAATATTACTGGAAATTCTTGGGAGCTGTTGTCTAGACCACTGGTTCTTAACCTTGTGTTACTCAGGAGTTTTGGACTGCAACTCCCAGAAGCCTTCACCACCAGCTGTGCTGACTGGGGATTCTGGGAGTTGCAGTTCAAAAGCACCCGAGTAACAAAGGTTAAGAACCACTGGTCTAGACTTGCTTTCAATAGTTTCCTTGAACGATGATAATTCCTTTGGTGGCAACTTTAGCTGTTCTCTCTTTTCAGCTTTCTGTGCAAAAAGTCGTTGCCTTTCTCTCTGAATCTGAATATGAATACATATTTTGGCATGGATTTGGATTTAATAATGTGATTCCTCCTCAAAACCTTGCTAAAACCTTAATGTGTGGGGTTTTTTTAATTCATATTTTTCATTATCTCTTTTCCCGGATTGCCACAATGTATAAACATATTTCTCAGTCATTCTGAGGGTCTAAAATTGATGTGTTGGTAAAATGAACCATTAAAAATCCATGTTATTACTCTTATATAAAAGGAAATGGTGATGGAAGATGGATGAATTTACTAGTTATAGATTTGCCAATTATATAAATGTAATGTTGGATCCTTTTAAAGGAGAAGGGTGGGATAAAAATATTTTAAATAAATAATGTTGACAATGTAGTCTATGTTCATGGTGCCACCATGGTAAATTCCAAGTCTTTGAACAGCAGCATGTGTGTTGCTCTATTCCTTGAATGTTGACTGTTTAGCTACTATGTTGATATAGGGATTTCAGTTAAAATGGACAAGGGGGGAGCCTGCCATGTGGAAATCAGTGTCTTTTCTGGCCAGAATCTGTTCAGTTAGAGAAGGAGAACTACATTTGTCTGCTTCTAGAATAGCTGAATTTTGCAACACTCCATGTTTGCTGTTAAAGATTTCAAATATTCAAACAGAATTGAAAATGGAATAACACCCCTTTAGGAAATATTTTTATTTGCAGCTGTAATTCAATCCTTTTAATATATATTTTTGACATTAGTACTAATATGGTAGAGATTCCAGAATCTTGCGATATTAGCGTATAATACTGTACTATGGCCAGTATCCTCTTGTGGAGCTCCACCAGAAGTATCACTTAGAACAGTGGTTCCCAACCTTTTTTGAGTCCCAACCCTTTTTTTAATAGCCAGGTAACTTGTGAGCCCTCTGCCATGTTTTCATAAAAAGATTTATTTTAATCAGTTAAAGCCATCCCATCTCAGAAAGTAAAGGGTTTCTTTCTCCTCTACCTCGGGGGTCTGTTTCTCATATATAA